CGGTTTTAAAGGGTTAAAGCAGCCCTCTCCATTTATCTGAGGTAAAAACAAACAAACTGTAGTTCCTCTAACGTCCACTTGAGGCTCCAGCGGTGAGTCTGTCCTCACAGGCTCAAACTTTAAAACGTCCAAATTTTCAGCAGAAATAAACACGTTGACAGCCTGCTACGAAAACCAGATTCTGCGTCTTCGTATCAACGCCAACTGTGAATGTTTAATTAAAGCTTAATGTTTGCATTGTTATGTGTGATGGTGAATAATTGGCCCACAAAGATGTGAAACTCGGCTTTTTATCAAACAGGACACACCGGATGTTTCTGTGACCGTGTCGTCAAAGGCAATGTGATGCCAACAAAAGTATAACTGTTCTCTTTACATTAAACAAACTCAGTGAAAAGCTTTAAACGTAGCTCCAGCAGTGTGTTATTCACCAAAACATGAAAACATCTGAGTCCTGCACGGACGTCTGCCCGCCGTAGTAAACTTCCTCTTTCATTTTCAGGTGTTGCGTCACTTTGACTTACACATCATCACTTGTCTCTGAGCAGCAACTCTAAATGTCGAGACGAACATGAGAAGCTGACCTGTGGCAGAGCCAGAGGGCCTGCGGTTAAAACTTCAGCAGCGTCAAACTATCAACGACGCTTTAATGGAGACGGGCGCTAACAAACACGAGACGGAAAAGTGGATCTCAGCTCAGGAAAGGCGGTGCTGGCCGTCACGAGTTGGTGTCAGAAATCTTATGAAGCTTAGTGAAGGGCCGACCCTCGAGCATCAGTCGTGTTAAAGCGGCGCCTCAAACACCTTTTTAAACATCTAATCATCTTTTTTTACTGGAGAGAATCATTTTGAAGGGTTTCTCCTTTTTAGTTCAAACTGGTTCATTTATTAGAAACTCTGCTTTAAATCTTTAAGCCGACTCCGTCTTATCTCCCTCGCTCTCCTCACGTAAAAGTCAAGACTCCAGCGACAAACCAGTCGAGGCGTTTTCTTCTATTTGCACACGTCAGCGCTCTGTTTGCCTCCATGTTTGAACACAAATAGGCAGGTGATCGTTTGACAGGTGCTGTAGAGCAATGTTTAAAGCAGCACTTTAATCAAACTGATGGGGTTTGTTTTTCTCACGCTCACCTTCTGCTTTTAAAGTGATGCTCAATCCAAGTTTGGTGCCTTCAGAGTACAGTGGCTCGATGTCAGCCTGTCGAGCGTTAAATGGTTTGAAGCAGACGATAACTTCAGCGCTGAATCTTCTGTTTGTGTCTGATCAGGATGAAGTTCTGGCGGTGTCCAGGAAGATGGTGGTGCGGGTGGAGGACCTGGTGCAATGGTCGTGTGCGCAGCCGGCAGGTTGGAGCAGCAGCCTGAAGGCGTTGGTGTGCGGGACCAACGGCCTCCACAAACCTCCGCAGAGCGGCGACGGCAGCAACGGCACGACGGACAAAAGCAGCGAGCCGCTCAAAGACAAAACCGAGAGTAAGAAACTCAGACTCTCTGCAGATGTTTGCAGATGTGAACCAGAGCCAGTTTGTCGGTGTGGAAATGCTGCCGGTCACACTCCTGTACATGTTCCAGCCTCCCTGTTAGAGCTACTTTTATTTTGAAAGGTCAGCAGTGAGGCAGCTAAAGCAGCATTAAAAGAACAGAATCATTGAAATTATTGTTAATCTGATGGATTCAGTGCTGTGGTTATTTAGACGTACACAGAGAGAAGGCATAAAACTATAAATTAGCCCAAAATAATCTAAACATTTTATCCTGATTAGCCTGCATGTGTTTTGAAAACTCTTGGGTCTCTATCCTGGATCATCTTCCTGTGTATTTCCTGTATCCAGAGGAGTTCCTCAGGGCTTCACAGTGGGACCACTGCACTTCCTCATAAAGAACTGGCCACCCACCCAGAGATCATTGTATTTGTGTTTTTGTGCATATAAACATGTTTTCCCGATTTTAGAAACCTTTATCAGTCCTTATTCTGAA